AAGGACAACAGGACACCAGTGGAAACAATAGTGCTGAAACCAACTTAATAAGAGCCCATTATTCCCCGTCTGCAACCAGTTTTTTCACAAAACTAACAAAGCAAAAAGGTAAGAGAACGCAAGCAGGGAAGTCGACCCCAACTCTGAACATACGTATTTTCCCTCACCATTGGGCTCTAAATGCAGTCATTGATTAGAACTCAGGACAAAAATTTACTGGGAGGTGAAAATTATCAGTAAGAAAAATATAATCAGAGAGAATTTTAAAAAGATGATGTACACACCAAATATTTAAATTCAACTTTTGTGACTTTCCTAGAACACTCTTACAGAAAACTTCATAACACCAAGGTTATTTAATTTCTGTAAGGACCTAGAAAACAAATTTTGTTTTCAGATCTGAAAGGGAAATCCCAAGGAACTCTTTAACACTTCCCCTTTTCTCATGCTCCTAAGTTTTCTTGGAAAAGTCGCCACTAAAGGAAGGCTCAGGGCTGAGCCACAGACAGGAAGAAAGGGAGTGGTGATCTCAAAGAGGCTGAATCATTTAGGGCTGCCTTCTCTTACTGGTTGACAGGTCAGTATTGTATTGCTGTAGTTGTAGAAAGTAGACAGCATATATGTGTCACGGGAAGTAACAGGCCCGACAGTACACTTGTCCTTTAAGGGAACTCTGGGCTAAATTCAAGTTTCACATACACACTCAGTTTAAATCTTTTTTTAGGCGGTGTCTTGGTTAGGTTTACTATTGCTGTGAAGAAACACCATGAGCAAAAGCAACTTGGGGAGGAAAGGGTTCATTTCCCTCACTGTTCCACATTCACTGTTCATCATTAAAAGCAATGTGAACAGGAACTCAAGCAGGGCAGGAACCTGGAGGCAGGAGCTGATGCAGAGGCCATGGAGGGAAGCTGCTTAACTGGCTCCCCATGGTTTTCTCAGCCTGTTTTCTTATAACCCAGGACCACTTACGTGGGATGACCCCACCCACAATGGCGTGGGCCTTCCCTCATCAATTACAAATTAAGAAAGTGCCCTCCAGACTTGCCTGCAGAATGATCTTATGGAAGCATTTACTCAGTTGATGCTTCCTCCTCTCCGATGACTAGCTTGGGTCAAGTAGACAAAAAACAGCCAACACAGGTAGGTGACTAGTCTGGTAAAAGCTTTGTTGAGCCTTTTGTCTTCCATAAAACTGTGGTTCTGAAAACACTTACTCTTCTCTACAAATTATATCCTATATCCTATTTGACGATATATCAGAAAACCCAGACACATGGCAATGAGACACATGTCACTATTAAGTGACAGAAAGCTTCTACAAACAGGAAGAAATTTTAAAGAGAAGAAAATACTCGTTGAAGGGAAGAGAGCGCTTTAGGAACAAAAAGAATTTTAAGTCATCATTAGCAATGATCAACAGTTAAATCTCACAAATGTAAGAGTTCTCCATCCTCCCCCCATTTTTGTTTATTTGGCTTTTGTTTGTTTATTTGCTTTAATTCACTTTGTAGTCTAGTTTGGCCTTGAATTTGTGGCTACACGTCCTCCTTTGTCAACCTTCCCAGTGATGGGATTACAGGCAGGTGTCACCTACGTCAAGCCTAAAACCTATTTCTAAATTATTTGAAAATGACTTTTGAAGATTTGCTAAGTATACTTAAATTAAGCATGCATATTATCAGAATTCAATAGTAAATAGTTTTTAGCTGTAGGCATCATAGCAACATCAAAGAACATCAAGTCGTAATTTTTTCTGATAATTGACAAGTGTCACTGATGATCATTCTCCCTTCATCAAGCTGTCTGTGAAATCCCTTGAGTTCTAACGACTGCTCAGTGTCGCGTACTGACTATCACTGAAGGAAGAAGGAGTGACAGGGGACAGTTTCTGTTGCCCACCCTATCCCCATGTGGTAAATTCTCAAAGGGCATCTTGTGACTCTGCTGCCTGGGACACACACACACACACACACACACACACACACACACACACACACACA